CATAATTTTCCTGGATTTGGGGCTAGTTTCTGTTGCTTAAATAAATATAAGCATAGCTGATGGATTTTCCTAATAGTAAACTGCCTGTATTGCCCTCTGAGAAATGCAGCTTTTTTTTTTTTTTTTTTTTTTTTTTCAGCCTAATAGCTTGGTGTTGCTGTTTTCCCCATCCAGCTTCACAAGTGAACATTCATATGACACTGTCATTGTCTGCCTTGATTACCGCTGATCCCAGCCTCCTCCAGGGTTAAGATCCTCTCCTCAGACGTAGCTACAGGGAATGTATCTCCATCATTGGTAACCCATATCCTGATAACCATAACCAATATCACTCTGGAGTGGTTTAGAGCATACAGGCTCCTATAGAATCAGTACATAAAGCTCTCAAATAGGATATTGTCTTTTTGTGACATATCAGAAAAGGGCTCTGGCGAAGTCCTGTAAATACACTGATATATTGGCCTTCTTATGAAAAACTCAGATCGATGCTCATATCACTGTTGTTATTGTAGAGCAGAGCTGATGTTCAGAGCTGCTGCTTGGAGAAATGTTCACCACATACTGCAGGGCTGCTGGAAAGCCTCAGGCAGTGAGTGGTGTGACTGACATCCCCAGCTGGTAACTTCATTAATTATGATGGCTTCTAGTTTGGTACCAGTTGAGCGTTGGACAGATTAATTCAAATAAAGGCATTGGGACATTTGTAAACAACAGTGAGTAACCTTAGGCAAGGTTCCCTGGCTATATTTACAACGTGGGTTTTGCTGGTCTCAGGGTATGAAATAGCAGTGAAAGGACTCACAGCTGCAGCAATACTGGTGGCAAAAACTGTGGTCTTTGGAGGTTTTCTGTAAACGGAAAGCAAAGCTGTAGTGGGTAACTGAGCATTAGTTACTACTCTATAAATAGTATTTGGTTGCTGCCTTTGTTGCTGCTTTTTACACACCTTTTTTATTATTTATTTTGGTTTGTAGAATTGAGTCTTTGTTGCTGAGTGCATTGATTTGTGCACATGTGAGACAGATAACAGTGATGGAAGAGGATCCACATGTTTATTCAGCCATTTGCAGCACTGGTACGGCGAGAGTATTTCATGGACTTTTCACAGCTGAGAGGAACTTTCACTGTTTTGGAGCAGGAGGAAGCAGCTTATCACCTACAGGGCTCTTTATCTGTCTTCTGAGGGAGGTTACTCTAGAAGGTGTTTCCTTGCTGTTTGGCAATCTTTTCTGATTATATCCTTGCTGCTATTTAAGAAAAGTTCAGATCTCAGAGAGCTTGTGTGAATTTGCCACCTGAAAACAGACTTGACCCACTGTCAGTTACCATAGATGAAAGGGAAGTATGAGAAAAAGGGCAAGAGGGTGGTAAAACCACAGCAGCAACCGTCTTCTCTAGCTGCTCATGGGAGCTTACCCAGCCCTAGGCTGACCTGCAGTGGTATTTACTTACGCTTTGTCTCTTTGGGACTGTGAGGTAGAAATCTCTTCAGTTTGGAGAAGTGGAAAGGCTGTTACATGAAACCAGACTTCTGCTCTGCTCTTCTGAACATCGATAGCACAGCAATGTATAAGTAGTTGCTGAGCAGTGCTTACACAGAGCCAGGGATGTTTGAGCTTCTGACGCTGCCCTGCCAGTAAGGAGCCAGGCGGGAATGCAGGCAGGACAGCTGACCCAGACTGCCCAAAGGGATGTCCTGGACCAGGTGGTGTTGTGCTGAACTACAAAACGGGGGGTGCTGGTGGGGGGCTGTTCAGGGACTGGCTGGGTATCAGTGAGTGGTGAGCAACTGCAATGTGTATCATTGATTTGTGTATTCTTTTATGATTATCATTATTATTTTCTCTTTCTTTTCTGTCCCATTAAACTACCTTTATCTCAAACAACAGGTTTTACTTATTTTCCAATTCCCTCCCTTATCTCACTGAGGGAGAGTGAGCTGTATGGTGCTGAGCTTCCAGCCAGGTTTAAACCACAATGGCACCAGATGACTTCCATGTGTTTTTTAAAAACATAGGAGCTCATAAATCTTCTATGTAGAATTTAAAGTAACAACAATTAAAAAAACAACAACAACAACAACAAAAACCAAACACAGTAGTTAAACGTGGAGACAAAATATTACTGGAAGGAAACAAAACAGTCTGTCTGGGCAATGCAGAGCTGCCTACAGCCCTGGTTCATTTGCAGTGACAGGGGAGGTTGCAGCTGAATCATGTCCTGTGAGACATGTGCTGCACTGCTTGGAGTTTGGAGCAAGGCTCCCCTTGCCTTTCCCTGCACCTACAGTGGGCCTAAACATTTGCAAAACCATCAGAAGCATTGTGAGAACTGGAGATTCTCCAGAGACTTGCAGAGTTGAGGAGCAAGATGAAGAGGGTGAGTGAAGCAGCAGTTGGTAGGAGAGAATGAATGGAGAGAAATCCGTGGTAGCTGAGCAAGCAGAGAGAGACCTGTGCAGTGTCCAGACAAAAGAGCACAAGTGGAAAGGGAGGGATGGACCTAGCAGAATTGCAGATCTGGTGCACAGCTGGAAGGCGTTTGTAAGCTTTCTGCAATTCTTACAATGCATTTCTACTCTGCTGCTATTAATTTCTGTTTGTTTGATCTGGCTTCTGTGTGGTGAATGTAAATGAGACCAGTGGCTTGCTCGGGTCTCTATCAAATGGCAAAACAAATGTGTGCTTCATGACAAATAACTACACTGGCTTGCATCTGTGGAACTGTTGCTGTTGTATTCAGTCAGATGTGAGCATTTGATGCTGCAAACTCTTAGAACCATTAATATCTTAATATTTGCTACTAACAAACACAAACCCACTGAAGGATGGAAAAATAAGAATAGTCAAAACAAATTTGTTAAGAATATTCCAAAATAGAGAATGAACCTGCAGAAGTGTTTGATAGTCAACTTTTTGGTTTTCTAATTTGATTTATCCCCTCACTTAAGGACTGAAATGCAGAAAGTCTCCACCCAGCAGAGAAACTCGTACAGAAAAGAGGAAGCTCTATTTCACAACTAGCCTGGTTTCCCCCTGGGAGATGTGTGATGGTGAACAGGCAGAACAGTGTCTTTATGATAGGTTAAAATTTATGAAAACTTGGACTTCCTTTGCATGTGGGCAGCTTTGCAAGTATTTACCAGGGAAGGAAGGAAGAAGATGAAACTCAGTGCATGCTGAGATTTCACATGTTAGCCAGGGATGACCAGGTGCCTTGCATCCTCCAGAACCCTTTCCAGTTTCCAAAATTAAGATGGGAAATAGGAGCTGATCAGCACTCCAGAGGATCAGGTTCCTTAATTATATTTAAGGTTATTGATTAATCAAATTCTTTATTTTTCAGATGGCTGCCTTTGGGAAGACAAAATATTACATAAGAACGAAAGTAAAAAAATGCTGACTGGGAGCCACAAGTGAGATCAATTTCTCTCTTCATCTGTTTGAATTGAACTGCTAATTCTTTCCATTAGATAAAGCTTTCCATTAGATAAAGTTGGTGTTCTAATTCAATACCAACTGGCTCTTCTTGCCATCAGCAGAGCTTTTTTCATTTGAGTAGGGAATTTTCGTAGCTGGATGAAAGGACAGATGGGGCTTCAATCTTCTTCATAAACTAAGGTGCAGCTTGAATTCAATACTGCAAATCACAAGTCCTACACTCCTAGCACTGCTGATTGTGTCTGGAGGGATAAGAGGTGTCATTTCTTTTACAGTCATCCCTACAGAAGAAGCAGAGATAAGACTGGAGGATACTATAGGGCAGCCTTAGTGAGGTAGCCACACCTAATGTTCAGACCCCACTAGAAATGAGGATGATTCTGAGCGTTTTCAAAGCCCCCCACAAGCATGGGCAGTGTCAGAGCTCTGCCTAAGCAATTCCAGTGACTCATTTACTTTGGCACCCAGCAAGTCCAAAGTACCAAAATGTGGTACAGGTGTGGGAAGAGTTTTGGAGTGGCAATAGACCCTCATCAATGAGAGAGAGTTCTGTCAAGTCCTGACTTCTGCCTATGGCAGCCATCCCTTCTCCTTGCACTGCCTCCCCCAGCTGTCCACAGGAGCAACCTTGGGATGCCCCTGCCTTTCAGAAAATCTTGCTGCTGCTTCTTGCATCGAGGTCATGAACCTCATAACACTGCTTAAACTGCTAAGTACCACATTTCCTAAAGGCAAGAAGCCACTTTCTTTTTTCAGAGCAAGCTCTTCGGAGCCAGAAATTTGACAGCGAAAGAAATCTGTTGATTGCAAAAACTACCCCTGCTGCTGCCCCTATGACAGGAAAACCCCAGACACCCAGAAAGAGGAAATTTTCAACAAGAAACCCAGCCTACAGCAGTGGTCAGATTCCAAGCAGTGTTACCTGGCCATAAAACTGGACTATCCTGTGGGCTCAGCAGTAGCCCGCTGTAGCACTAGCTCTCTCCTCAGGATGAGTGAAGAGCTCTGTATGTCCTGTGTGGGAAGCAGTAGTGTTGTCACAGCCATCACCATGTAAGAAATGGTTGGTTGGTTTCTTGTAGCCCATCAGTAATACCACAGATGAGGGGAACTTTTATAGATCAGGCAAGCCTTTAGAAGGAGGGCTTTACTCCTTTAAGCACCCTGGTAGACAGCAGCATTGATTTAAAACAGTACCATTATTGCATGCTTTGCTGAACAGTAGGGAGGTTTCAAACTATTTTTTTCCTGATGTTTGTATTTCAGTGCAATTTCACTCACATATCATGAATTTAAAATAAACTTCATGTTCAGATGATGACTGATAATGCATGTCTTATACTTCTGCAGCATTTACTAAAACAAAACTTAGAAGGAAACTGAGAAGCTTTCATCTGCTTGCTCTTTTGTATGCTTTGGGAAGGCAGTGGTTTAATAATAAGCACAGGATTCCTCTTTCTGAGTTTGAAGGGACAAACGATCCCTGGTATATGCATGCAGCAGGTTTGGGAGTGTCATTAGAACTGGCTACAAAAAGAAAGATCCCCAGAGTCGTAAGAATTCTGATGATATTTTCATTAAAATCAAAGCCAAATATTTCAGTGCTCCCTGTGCAGCATGAGATCCTTATCATTTCAGTAGCAATTCATTTTATTCCAACAAAGAAGCTTCTTTAATTCCGCTTAAGCTCTGTTCTCATTTAATAAGTGGGTTGCAAACAGAATTATGTAGATTCAAACATGGCCCCTTTGAGGGAAAGAACTGAAAATTTCCCCAAGGGTTGATCTGTACTAGCATTTACCAGCTGTGACTTCCTGCCTTTCAGATGTGTCATATGGCAGTTTCCTATTCATATATAACCAAATGGTAATCTGTCCTTCTGAGGTAGCGCATAGTGCAAGATGGAGGTGTAAAATATGCCGCATACAACCAGATAGCTGCACAAACTTGTCTGCAAACTTGACTGCAGCTGTGGCATGTTGGCAGTGGTGCTCTGACATCCAGGTGGCTCCTTTTCAGTACTCTGCTTTCCTAAAGAGAACTGGCTGCTTTTCAGCTGCTCGCACTACCTCCTCGACAGGGTGGTTAGGCTTGTCTTTGGAAACCCGAGAGTTGCTTGTGTTCAAAGCAGATTTTCTGTTTTAAGGAGAAATCTTTCCCCTTCACCCTTTCCTAAATTCTTATTTCAAAGTACTCTCGATAGCCAGCGTAAGCTGTCTCTAAGTAGCAAGCATTACACCAGAATGCTTTCTTGTTTAATAGCATTAAGCTTTATCAATGTGAATTGGATCCCAAATGCATATGGCTGCCTACAACCTTCAGCAGTCACTATGAATAACAGGAGGATAAAGGCAGTTATTTGAGAGGAAATCCCCTCATGAAGACAAATAGGTTTCGGCTAAATTGCCAGCATGTGGGGGGCAGTGCAAACTTTCCTAAGGTGAAACTTGATTCTTACTCTACCACAGCATCAAAATAACTCCAAAGAAGCAATGGGATATGTGTTAGTGTAGCTGAGTTAGAAGCTGGGCTGTCCTTCCCAGACTCCAAACAGAAAGAGATCAGTGTTCAGACTTTGTACTGAATGACTGCCACGTGTCTGGGAGTTAGAAGTTTTCCTTGTTAAAAATGAAGTGTACTCCTCGTGGGTCAGCTTCTGAGTTGCTGATGCTCTGCTTGCTGAGCGTGTCAGCGAGAGCCTCAGGTCCACAGAGAAAAACACCTATTCTGGAACTGTTAAGAAAATAGAAACATGGTCAGGAACTAGACATAGAGTAGCTGGATGTTCATGTAAATCAATCTTATGTTCTCTAGCAGCAAGTATTTTTTCTCACCTACAGAAACTAAAGCAGAACAGCATGTCTGTCCTTTAAAACTTATCACCCCTTCAAACTTGTGAGACATTTACTGCCACTTCTAAACCAGGTGGTGAGTTAAATCTCAGCTCAGCAGAAGTCAGCGAAGACAATTTTATTGACCTCACTGGAATCAGTGAAGTAAAGCCTCAAAGAGTTTATAGCAAAAAGTTTTGAAAGGAACTAATCAGGCTTTTTTTCCTGCTAAGTTCAGATGCTCAGCTACAGGTCATCTGTACCCACGTGTTGTTTTTTCTTTTGTTTTGTTTTGTTTTGTTTTTGAGGTAGAAGGTGTTATTTTTAGAAGTATTTAGAAGTTGAGTGACATTCCTATCTACTTCAACTTGAAAGATGGGATACATTTTTCCTAAAACATCTGCTAGTAATTAGACACTGCATCAAGTGTCTCAAGTGTCCACATATGGATGATCTTTTTTTTTAAATTGTAGGTTAAAGTAAATTGGTCAAGACCCGATGGGATGAAACCCTACGTCAAGACCATGGCTGAAATGAGATAGAAAATACCTGGAGACTGTTATTAAAATATCATCAACATTATCAGTCAAAGGAACAAGATTGTGCTGTTATGGCAGTTAAATAGAGGACATTCACAGACACTTTCAATTGTACAAGATTACCCCGGATGCTGCCTCGCAATGGTTTTGAACTCATTTTCCCAGTTAGGTCTTCCATACAGTGTTTTCTGTTTAAGGCCTGTAATCACATCCTTCTCCTCTTCATGATGCATTACAAAATGAGTGGCCTGTGAAAAATGGAAGACAAAGGCGAGATATAAGTGACATAAAGCACCACTAAAAGTACCAGTGAGCACCTTTCCTTACTGAATCACATTCTCTACTGAGTCATGGAAGAGCTGTTCCTTCATCACTCTTCTCCAACCCACAATCATGGGATCAGATAGAGAACTCATGAATGTTCTGAAACAAATATGCTGCCATCACTCAAACTTTTTGCATTAGCTTCCCCAAAATGGCATTTTCTGTAAGCAGTAACAACTGTCTTAGATACGCTTGCAGGGTGAGCTGAAATACTACTTCCCAGCGTGCACAGCCAGAGTGAAAAAAAAGAGATAGTCAGTGCACATCAGCAGCTAATCTCATGTAAGTTCTAGGGAGTAATAATTATCTGCACTTAAAACCCCAGAGAGCCATGTGGACGTCCAGAATAATGACCATACGAACATTTATCAAAACATAACACACTTGCTAACATCAGCCTGGGGGCACAAGAAAGTGATATTTTCCATAGTGTTGTTACCTGAGTTTCATCCCAGCCAGTAAGGTAGATGTTATAGCTGAGAAACTCTGCATTATTCCTCTCCTGCATTTGAGTCTCCAGAGACTGCAAGAGGTCAGCAAACCATTCAAAGGCATGAGTGTCCCTGCAAAGCCAGTAAAAATAGATCTGGAAGAGAGAAGCGAGAACTATCAGGGGACATAGGTACTTAGGTTTCTGGGTTTCTGTTTGCTGACTAAAGAAGGACTGCGGAGTTCTTGAAGATATTGCTCTGACTAATTCAGTAAATGGGTAAGCTGGTGCTGAAGCTATTCAGGAGTTTGGATTGAGAAGGTGAGAAGGTTGTGAAGCAGAACAAGGAAATATCTTGCTCTTCTGCTGGTGGTTCACATTTGTAGTTGGGGACGTTTTCACCAGTTTTATCCCTGTGAAACAGTTTGTTAGCACATAAAATAATGACTTTGGTAGATTCTATCTCCCATCTGCTAGCAGGGAAGGTAAATTAAAGCAAATAGCAAAACCAGTTCTGTCGACTGAATACAAATGTAACTGCAGTGTGACCCCACACCTCTGCACAGGGACTTTCCAGGGAGGTGAGAGGAGGATGCTAGCATTGTGCTACCACTGACTCAGAGTTACTCTCTCTGTTCTTAGGGAAGGTATACAATGTTTGCACAAGCTGCAGTTAGTGCCTGTGAATTAATGGCATGTCTTGTTTGTCTTGCATGGCTTGAATGGCACTTCCAACACAGGTGGAAAACCCCAGGACAAAAGCCAGGCTTTGGGTGTTGAATTTTGCTCCTAGGGTATTTCCTTCCGTCTTTCTCTTCTATTTTTGCAGTTTTGATCCTCCAGCTTCCATGATCACTTTTCTGGGACTGTTCTGATTTTGACCATTGGTCCTCCAACAACTAAATGGGTTCTGGGAAATCTCTGTGACAAAGAGGGCACGTACCTTCTTAAGTTTTAGGTTGGTTGCATCGTGGCAGTATTTGTACCAGACAGACTTGAGCACAGATGCGAATGGCGTTACCCCTATCCCGGCTCCAACCAGCATAACAGTTTCATAACTGAACACATCCTCACTAGCGGTTCCAAAGGGACCATCTACAGCTATCCTGAAATCAAAAGTACATTGAAGAAATAGTGGATATTTATTAGCATCATTTAAAACAATAACAGAAAGATGAAATATTTGCCTGTTGCACCAGAAAGTAAAAGAAAAGGTGGAATTGGTAGAGGAGGGAACCGACATGAGCAGTCTAAGACCAACATCCATGACAGAACTTGTTAAGGATTGTATCACAGATGCCATCACCAGGTTGAACAAAATTTCAGCTGCCCTAGATTTTGGTTGACTTTACAATGCTTGACTCCGTACATACTTGGGCAACTTCCATGCCTCCTGGAATTCCTGCTTATCACATCCACAGGCATTGAACAAGCCCTCTGTCCAGTCTCCTACAATACGGACATGAATGCTGAAGTAATCCTCTTCTGGGGCAGAGGTTAATGTGAATGGATGCCATTCCAGTTTAGACACTGCTGGACATTTGACAAAAATGTATTGCCCGACCTCCATCTTGAAACCCTTCTTCATCATCTGGAGCTCAATTGTCTTGAAGGGATGAATCACCACCTACAGTAAGAGGGACAAGGGGAAAAAAAGGCAGAAGTAAAAGGGTATCTTCCCTGTTCACTGGTTTTGTCCACATTTTTCATCGCTAGCATTGCCCTCTCCTACAAGAGCAGGAAAAGCAGATGAAATGTTCCCAGCAGAATGGGGAGTAAGGAGCAGTGCCTGACAGCCAGGTGAAAGACTGCAGAAGATGCTAAATTTTTGGCTAAAGTAATTTATTGCACCATTCTTGTGGTCACTCCAAAAGGGACAGGTCAGAGTGGGGACTATTCAGGCTGGAGAAGGGGAGACTGAGAGGGGATCTTACCAGTGCTTACAAATATCTAAAGGGTGGGTGTCAAGAAGATGGGGCCAGGCTCTTTTTAGTGGTGCCCTGTGACATGACTGCCCAGAGAGGCTGCGGAGTCTGGAAATATCAAAAAACCACCTGAATGCTTTCCTGTGCAACCTACTTTAAGAAACCTGCTTTGGCAGGGCAGGTGGGCTACATGATCTCTGGAGGTCCCTTGCAACCCTGACAATTCTGTGATTCTGTGCCAGGAAATGTGGAATATTTACACTGCTATAATTTATGCAGATACGTAGAAAATTAATTTATCTTCTCCACAATTCAGTATTGTACTTAGCTAACTTTTCCTTCCTGCACTCTTTTGGAGACAGGCTTAGAAACAACTACACTTGGATGTTGGAGAGTAGTACTTTTTTTGCGTGTTAGAAATCATGACTTTCTTGAGACGTCTTTATTTGAAAACACTGTATGACATGTAGGAACCCTGGTTTTGCTGCACCATCTAGAAAAACTGCTAGCGTTTAGCCCAGAGTTAAGCACAGCAACAACACATACCTTTGTGATAACAACCTTCTGCTGTGATCTCCAAAACCGCACCAGCCTCTCACAGAGGTACAAAAACATGGGACCTACTACCCATTTCCATGTCTGTTAACAGAATAAAATGGGAAGTTAAACTACAAAGATGGCAACCGAGATTACATTGAATTCCGGATACACTACAAACAGATGTTAAATTCAAGTTACATGTTATTTATCAACCAGAGTAAGGAACAGTTAAAATACATGACACCTTCAAACTGAGTTCTGTTCAGAGGGGGAATTTCTTTCCTTGTTGAGAATTGTATTTGCATTTTTAGTTGTTACTATAGGTATGAAATGGTAATTTCCTATGAATGATTTTGTCTCCGCCTGAGTCTGGACATTAATTTTCTGTTAATGATCATCAGGCTATTAATAATGTGAAACTATTACGTAGATTATAGCACTTTTTGGAACCCCCGTGATATGAAATACACTTTGGTAAACAGTTCTCAGATTTACTCATCTGTTTTGCCCGTTAGTTGTGCTGTTGTTACGAGGCTCTGGAAGTGGATTGTCTGTAGTCCATTTTGGGTTGTAATCCACTATGTGGAAATCTTACTTAATGTAAAGAAAACTACTTTGTGCAGCAGGTTTATACACTATTTAACAAAAAGAGTAAACAGTCGTTTTTTTGTACTGGATTTTTTCTTACCATAGGAGGATTCCCTGCAAACTGAGGGACAGGGCAAGCTCCTTTCTTTCCCCAGTCAGTGAAATTCTTAGAGCACATCTCTGGAATATGTTCAGCCAGACTCTCAGCTGTCTGTCCCCGCACAATGCGCCTGAAAAAATGCAAAACATAAAGGGAGTAAGATGGGAATCAAGGAATATCTGTCACTTACTGTTATTCTGTGTATTCTTTTTCAGCGTAGTTACGGACTCCTGCAGTGCTACTGCACCTTTTGATTCCTCTGTATGGCTCTGATCTATCCAAAACACTGTAGGGGGAAATACCGACTACGAGATCAGGTGAGGAACTGTGAGGTAAATTTATTATCACTTCCAGAGTGTAATTAACACAAGGAAAACTCAATTCTTTTCAAAAAAAACCTACTTTTTCCTTCAATAGGAAAAATGAAACATGGAGTGGGCTCAATAATCAAGTTTCCTATTGATCACTGCAGCAATTATTCCTGTTATTTTTCTTAAAAATCAAGGACAGCCTTTTCTGAAGAACACTATTTCTTTGGTAATTTCTCTCTCTTTACAACTGCAGAGTAGATTTTTAGTTGGTGTGATGGAAACAGGTTCCTCTAGCTCAAAGTAGCTATGTTGGCTAAGCAAGCTGATGTTAGTTGATAATCTAGACTCAACATTCTAACATGAGCTTTGCTTGTTTTGTTTTGTTCATTTATTTTATTATAGAGAAGCCTGATTGCTCCAGTTTGGTAGAACTGATGCTGGAAAAAGAATTCAGTTTTGAGAAGTAAAAGTATATTTTGATCGTGTTCACTATTTCCTGCACCTGTGTGAAGTTCTACCATCCTCAGGGCCACATCTGAGCCCCTCATATGATGGTAATTAGTAGGTTAAGATCTAATGACTTTCCATAGAAATGTTCTGATTCTGATCAGACTGTTTGGTTTTATGCCAATATAACTCTGTTGATATTTTCTTCCCATGACTTCCCTTTCTGCTTTTCAAGCTCAATTTCCTTGAACTTGGCTGTGTTTCTAACATTTCAAAGAAATTAGGTATCTAAGTCACATGTACGCCTAGGTTTAAGTGACAAATGTATCAGAGGATTATTAGAATGCCTGTGTGCTATCTTGAAAGTTAAAGATTTCACTGCTTATAGATATTACTAATGAACCTCTTCCTCATTAAGGGTTTGACTAATGTCCTGCCTAAAAAATAAAGGGAAGAAATATCACTGTCCCAGGAGCATCATGAGTTGCAATTTTCAGAAACAACATCGGCTGCAATTCACTTCCCCAACAGTGACAAGGGCTTCATCTGAGTTGACCTTGGAGTGATTTACAGGAATGGGAGGAGCCCATTTTCTGCCTGTTTTCTGCCACTCCTGAGCCTGTTGCCTAAGGGCTAGTGGTTTTCACCCTGCCCTACACTCCATTTGAAGTTTGACAAGCCAGCAGCCTGTATAAGGAAAGGAAAAGACTTATTTTCACTTACTACACGCTGTAGGTGACCTTCCAAGATTGCAATTAAGCCTTCAGCAATATAACCTTCTAATTTCTTCTTTTTCTGTTAAAAATTTTACTTTAGTTTGCCAAGCAGAGTGATCTGAATCTCTGCATTCCTTCCTCCTTACATTTACTATTGATGGGAAGGTCAGGATTTCTATCTGTGATGTGTAACTAATAGACAAATAACATCAGCACTAAAAAGTACTATAATGGCATCAGACGAGAATCTGTGCTCTTCATTCCATTAACTATGTATTCTTCAGTTTTCTACATATTCATATGTATTCATATATGTTTGACACAACCTTCTGTCTCTTGAGATAAAATGACATCTATGTGCCTTTCAAACACGTTGAGAGTGTCAGATCATACTTCCGCATTCATCTGCTCCCAAAGCAGTGCCTGACAACCACATGGATCCCCACTGCTGCCTAAACTTTTCAGCACTGTATTAAAATGGTGAAAGTATAGTCGTCATTGAAAGAACAAAAACTCCACTTTTATGAAATGTATACTACTCACTGACTGTTAGAAAAAGCAATGTTTGCTTTCTAATAGCATTGTGTAGTAACTGCTGAAAAGTTTAGACATTCTGTCAGTAGTTACATAATATTTCCAAAGGAAACAAATGCCATTTACTCTCCTTCAATTTTTGCTCTAACATTCTTCTTGTTTCAGAAGTCAAAATGGACAAACATGCTGCTGGTGATTCTCATTTCCCTTCTATTTCTGTTCTTCCTGCTGTAGTCTCATTTCTTTTTTTTTTTTTTTACTGGTGCTACTGGACTAAGAGGAAGTGTTATTGAATAGTCATTATTATTGGGCACTTTTAATACACTTTCCAGTGCTCTGAATCCTCAACTAATTTTAAGACCTAGAATTTCATTTTAAATGGATAACACAGTATATCTATAAACTATGAAACGTGCCTTGGATACTTAAGGATTCTTTTCATGCATCAGTTCTGTAGTTTCATAAAATGAAACTGAAGTTTCATTTTGGAAGGCCAACAGGACTGACGTCCTGATGGGGGTTTGTTACAGACAGCCTAACCAAGATGAAGAGATGGATGAGGCATCCCACAAGCAGCTGGCAGAAGTTAAGCGATCTGTAGCCCTTGTTCTCATGGGGACTTCAACTTCCTTGACATATGCTGGAAATATAATACAGCATAGAGGAATCAGTTTAGGAGGTTTCTGGAGTGTGTGAAAGACAACTTGTGATGCAGCTGGTAAGAGAGCCTACCAGGGAAGGAGTCCTGCTAGACCTGCTGTTCACAGAGGACTGGTGGGAGATGTGGAGGTCAGGAGCTATCTATCTTGGACAGAGTCACCACTAAAAGGTAGAATTCTCAATTCTTGGTGATGTCAGCAGGAGGGCCAGCAAAAACCTTGGACTTTCAGAGGACAGACTTTGAACTGTTAAGGAGAATGGAAGAGAGGGTCCCTTGGGATTCATCCTAAAGGGGAAAGGCGTCCAGGAAGGCTGGTCGCTCCTCAACATGTAATTCTTAGAGCCACAGGAGCAGGCTGCCCCCCTGTGCTGTCAGATGAGTCAGCAGGGAAGAAGACCAGTGTGGATGACCAGGGAGCTTTCTCAGAGGCCCCAGGAGGAAGAAGAGTTTACCTCCTGTGGAAGAAGGGATGGACAACTCTGGAAGAGTACAAAGAATTTGCTAGGATATGCAGGAAAAAAATTAGACAGAAGCCCAGCTTGCACTGAACCTGACCATTATAGCAAAAGAGAATCAAGAACTTTTTTTACAAATATATTAACAATAAGAGGAGGACTAAAGAGAATATCCACCTTTTACTGAAACATGACCTCTGAGGATAAGGAAAAGGCTGATGTTCTCAATGCCTTCTTTACATCTGTCTTTAACAGTCAGACCAGCGATCCTTGGCGCATTTTACCTCCAGACTTGGAAATCTGGGATAAGGAGCAGAATAAACTCCCCACAATTCAGGTGGAGACAGTTAGAGACCTTTAACTCAACCCAGACTGCCACAAATCCATGGGGCTGGATGGGATCTACTCAAGGGTGCTGAGGGACCTGAGACAGGTGATTGTCAAGCTGCTTTCTACCATCCATCAGCACTCCTGGTCAACCAGAGAGGTCCCAGAGGACAGGAGGCTTGCCAATGTGACTCTCATCTACAAGAAAGATCATAAGGAGAATCTGGGGAACTACAGGCCTTTCAGCCTGACTTCAATGCCAGGGAAGGAGATGGAACAGATCATCTCGAATGAGATCACACAGTAAGTGTGGGACAACCGGGGGATCAGGCCCAGTCAGCACGGATTCACAAAAAGCAGGTCCTGCTCGACCAACTTGATCACCTTCTATGACTGGATGATCTTCTGGTGGATGAGGCAAAGGCTGTTGATGTGGTCTACCTAGGCTTCAGCAAAGCCTTGGGTTCTGTCTCCCACAGTATCCTCCTGGGGAAGCTGTCAGCCCGTGGCTTGGACAGGTGCACTCTTTGCTGGGTAAAGAACTGGCTGGATGGCTGGGCCCAGAGAGTGGTGGTGAATGGAGTCAAATCCAGCTTGTGGCCAGTCATGAGTGGTGATCCCCAGAGGTCAGTATTGGGGCCTGTCTTGTTCAGTATCTTTACTGATGAGGCAATGGGGTACATCTTCACTAAGTTTGCAGAAGAGAACAAGGTGGAGGAAAGTGTTGATCTGCCTGAGGGTAGGAAGGCCCTTCAGAGGGATCTGGACAGGCTGGATTGATGTGCTGAGGCCAATGGATGAAGTTCACCAAGACCAAGGGCCTTGTCCTGCATTTTGGCCACAACAACCCCAAACAACATTACATGCTTGGGGCAGAGTGGCTGGAAGACTATGTGGAAGAAATGGACCTGGGGGTGTTGGTCAACATTCAGCTGAACGTGAGCCATTGGTGTGCCCAGGTGGCCAAGAAGGCAAAATGCATCCTGGCTTGTATCAGAAATAGTGCAGTCAGCAGGAGCACGGAAGTGAGCATGCCCCTGTACTCAGCTGTGGTAAGGCTACACCTTGAGTACTGTGTTCAGTTTTTGGGCTCCTAACTATAAGAAAGGCATCAAGGCCCTGGAGTGTGTCCAGAGCAGGGGAACAAAGATAATGAGGCATCTGGAGCAAGTCTTATGAAGAATGGCTAAAAGAATTGGGATTGTTTAGTCTGGAGGAGGCTTAGGGGATACCTTATTGCTCTCTATAACTGCCTGAAAGGAAGTTGTGGCAAGGTGGGGAGCAGCCTCTTCTCCTAGCTAACAGAGATAGGAATAGAGGTAATGGCCTTAAGTTGCATCAGAGGAGGTTCAGGTTGCATATTAGGAAAAATTTCTTCTTTGAAAGAGTGGTCAGGCGCTAGAACACGTACGTGTGTGTGATGTAACTCCTTTCAGGTTTCAGAGATCAATTAAGAATTAGAAACAGGCACTTTGAAAAAAATATTTTGAATTAAAATATTGTAAGAAGTCGATTATCGGTGAGCTTAAGCATGCCCGAGTCTCATGTAGTCTCATGCATGTGAATAATTGCTGTATGTATCTGAGGGCCTGTTGGCCTCAGAGCCTGTACTGGCACATCATTACCTGCAGAAATAACTGCTCCTTAGTGACTTAAGTCTCTATGTGCTTCTATGAGTGGAGAGTTTGAAGCTAAAACAGAGTAGTGATCATGTATTGTATGGTAAGTGCAAATACTCACCCAGCACCATGGATGACAAGGCCAATAAAGAAGATGACAAAAAGATGGTGAGTGTACCAAAACACTTCAAAATATGACCTTCGGATGATTTTGGTGGATGATGTGATGATTAGTATGAGGGCCAGAGTGATGATAACACCGGTGATACCAGCCAAGTATGTGAAAGCCACATATAAGCCCCCCACAGGATTCTGTGAAATAATTGCACATGTTGGTCAAAGGGGTTGCATCAAAGCTAAGGCAGCTGAACCATCAGTCTATCTCACTTGCCAGATCCTGCACCCCGTTGCAAACCTTTAGGTTATCCTCTGTGAATTTGCCAACAATGCTTTGAAAACGTACTTCAATTTTGTTGCACTGCAGATCTGCTCCTACTAGAGAAAGTAAGAATAGAAACAAAGGGTTTCATACCTATCTGCACACCAAAGACTATTTCTTATTCTGCTCCTGCTCAGCAATATGTGTGTGGGAAAAATGAACATTTTTGCATAGCTCTCTTGCTAAAGCTGAAGTCCCACATCCATATTTAGAGCTAAACTAAAGCTCTTATTTTTAGTGGTGCTGGGCAGTTGTGGGTCTCCCAGCTTACAAGAACGTCAGATTCTCAGAGCTTCTGAGAAATTGGGAGGTTTCTTTTTCTGTTTTCTTTTTCTGTTTTTTTTTTTTTTCTTTTTTTTTTCTTCTTTTTTTTAATCCTGAGCTTAGGGAACCCGATTTCAAATGTTTTTCTCAATTTCTGTCGACCCTTCTGTGGGAATGCCTGCCTTACTCAAAAAACTTCTTTTACAGGGCATTTTTTTTCTGTGCTGTTTTAAAGCTACTTTGAAATCCTCACGTGAAGAAGCCTAAGGTATTACAAAAATCAGCAACACTATTACTGATCACTACAGGAAAATGAATTACAAAAGGCTTTCCTGCAAGATGGTGCAAAGACAGATTGTGCACTCCAGAAACAGACAGCCTTCTGAGATACTCTTAGGTAATCATCCAAATGAATGTAATAATGATTCTTCACAGCTAGATGTCACTTACCGGAATAGTTCGTCTATAAAAGTTGATATAGCTTTCATTTGGGCCATCACCAAGTCTAGAAAGCACAGCTGCCAATGTTCCTTCCTCTTCAACACGTGCATGCACGCTCCACTCTACATTGAATAAGTGTGCAATGATGTGAATTGCTAGGAAAGAGAAAAAAAAAAGAAATAATTAGGGATAAGTACAGAGTAAATGCTCCCTGTTCTGGGGTAAGCTTTGTAGCATTTCTCAACAGCAGCTTAGAACCTGTGCCACTCCCATGGCAATTTTGGATCACTGATGAGTGTTAATTCTTTCATAATTTCTTCTATTTGTTTCAAATGTGCCAGCTAAGAAATAAGCCTAAACAGAAATTTTAGTCAGAGTATTTGGTTCTGAAGGCATTGCCAAATACCTTTTATTAATCCTTGTCATGAATGTTACTAGCTGTGAAAGAGAAAAGCATCCTTTCTTATTCATCTTTTGCTACCAGTTGCAGAATAATACTTAAAATGTTCCAAGCCTTCATGCACTCTGACTCATTTAAGTTAATAAAATCAGCTCTCTTCCTATATCCTTAAGAACTTGGATCTCATTTGAATTCTACGTAACACGAACAGGAAAGCAATAACCAAAGAAACATTTGAGTACCAACCAGTATGAAGGGCGATCATCCATGCCACCATTTTGTGAAAGGTGAGGTTCCTGTCCAGTTGCCGTCTGATACGGGTAGAGCAGCACTTTGAGTTTGAGGAAAAAAATATTTGCAGACTACTTGTGATTCCTACACACACTTATTTAAATGCAGAGAAAAAAATGGAGGCCCTGAGCACAAGAATTGGTGACACTGCTGGTAAAGAATTAGAATTCCTAAATATAAACAAAAAGATATTACTCCATATATCAGAATATGATAATAACATGTTGTATTTTAATATGTCTAATTGAAACAAAGTATATGACAATGAGAAAGCAAAATAACATCAATTATGGGAAAAATATATCTATTTTATCTGTGTTAAATTTAAATTAGATGCTATAAATGGAGGGAATAATCATACTCTGCCATGCCTGGAGAAGTTGACTTGTACTGCCACATAGCAACAGGACCATGCTGCGGCTCATACTCCAAGCATCCAAGTTTGGGTGCTTCCACTCCAAACACATCAGTTACTTACGGTTCTAAGTGTTTCCTTTCCCAGAATTCTGGGTGTACTTGGCAAACACTCACTTGCAACTTGTTAGTGGAATTACCCAAAGAGAAATAAGAATAAAAAAGTCTCTACTAATACAAGCTGAAGAACGGCTATAAGAAAAACAGAATGATATTTTCATTAACTATTATGACAGGTACCTGAGAGGTCCCATCTAAATTATAGTCTCTATTGTAGTCAGCAGGAGTTTTCCTGTAAATTCTTGCTCATGTAAAGCTAGCATTTGCTGTCTCCACACAGAAGAAAGTGTAATTATTCTGTGTTGTGTCCTTATATTGCTTTTGCTGACTGACAAAAAACCAGAAATTACTAAGCAAGCTAAAACATGAGAGCCATATAGGTGTTTTACACAGCCAATTAAGAGAGCAAGATAATCATCCAAGTGCTTGCTGAACACTAACTTTGTAGATGGTATGGTAAAGTATCTTCCCAGTCAACAGGGTGGATCACATCATCCCAGACATTCAGAGTGAAACAGAAGGGACAATAGAACACCAGAACAATTAAGCATAAGACCAAGCAGTAGCAAAATGCTGCAGTTAGGTTCAGTGGTGAAGCTCATTAACAACAGCAATGAATACAGAACAAAGGGGAATGCAAAGACAATATTGATGTTACTGATAAATATCTTTGTAGTGAATGATTTCTGGGTGGCAGGATGTAAAGGGAGGGAGTTTCCAGCACACTGCTATTGAGCAATTGGTTTGAACAAATTTCCCCTCTCCCTTACCTCAATGGCATTGCTGTTGGAAAGGCCACTACCCTTTCAATATGCTACATGACATTTAAAAATACTGATTTTCTTAAGAAATCCTCACAGAGCATAATTAATTAGACTGAACAGCAGAACAAGCATAAGCAACTGTACTGCTGCACCAAGGCTACGACAGTCCCAGCACTACCCCTGGCACATTGGACTTGGCATGTTTTGCTTAAGATAATTACCTTCTTCCTGAGGTATAGCCTTATTGCAACATGCAATTGCAGTTAAACAAAGTCTGACTGCCTAACAGTCCTATTTTATGTCCCTTCCTCATGTCCTTGTACACCCTCAGAGCCTTTAGCTTCCTCATACAGCCAGACAGTGAGTTGCAGGCAGGCACCAAAACCATGCAGCTCTCTACATGATTCTCACTTGCAAACTGAAAAGGAGATTTGCAACTAGGGACAAGCAGCATTAAGACCCAGCTGGAATAAAATTCTCAGCCCTTAGAATCATGTTTTAGCATTACTGCAATGTCTCTGCAAATGTCTTCAGTTCTTTCATTGCTTTGAGCTCAGAAGTCCTCTTCCCAACCTGCTTTCAGCTTGATGCCTGTGAGATCTAGTTCAGACCTCGTGAAGACCTGGTATGATCAAGATCTCATCAGTGTTTTCCAGCTGTATTCATCTAATGACAAAACAAAATCTTACTAAATTTATGTTCATTATTAACTTTTGCAGCTTGGGGAGCCAGCTGTCATTGTGGCATATACTATTTGATCTTTTTCAAAGCAGAGGAAGAACAACTTTAGCCCTACATTTTTACTTATTATTCTTTTTCTTTCACGCACATGGAGACAGCATGTCTGCTTTTATCACTACCCAGAATCTGAAGGGGTGTAGAACAAGATAGAAAGTCTGGTCTGGATATTTCCAAGTTTATATTTGTTAGTGCTATGCCTAAAAAAGGCCAGAGCACTTTGGATGGCATTGGAAATATAATTTAGGAGCAGAGGCAGCTCATATTCATCCACAATGACTGCCAGAGTATATGTACTAGATGAATATATAGCCTGGGTTGTGTCTGATTATTTTCTAGTGGCTTTATATCCCATTCTCCTCTGCTATGAAGGACTCTTGAAACTGCACATATTGTATGATTGCTGGTTCTTTTGCTCTGCTTTTTCCACCCTAACAAACAGTCTCATCTGCATGAAAGAATTTCTGATAGATTTACAGATGAAAACCATGTTCTGTGAACTAGTGTTGTTGACTGCCCATATACTAAGGATGACAGAAAGAAAGGAGTAATCATATATTTGGAAGGAAACTTTATGAGCTCGAGGAGAATATTATTCCACTGAGGAATATGCGTGGCAGCATACTGGTCCTTGATAGGAATGGAGTGACTGTGATGCAGATAGAAATGAGGCAACAGGATGAATAGAAAAAAAACACAAGAAGTGCTAGGGTCCCCTCAGCTGACAAGGTACATCCATTTTGTATTAACAAGGTTTGCAGCTTACAGTTCCCTTTGGAGGCCTAATCATTAGAGCTGTGGAACAGGAGCCTTTTTTTTTTTAATATGCCTGGATAATTTTTTTTTCCTGCATCTGTTATAATAGACAGCAATCTGCATTTCAGCAACGTGACAGAGTCAGTGCTACCATAGGAAGCCACTCCAGATATCACCTAGAATCGATTGTCCTTTTCTTAGTTCCTTGATACTGGGCAGCTGGGAGCTAGAAATAGTCAAAAGGGTGGTGAACTTCTCATCCTGAGATGGACATGCAATGCAAAAAAGGAAGAATGTAGTTTATGAACTTGTTGAAAAGGTCCCTTTCTAAAAGTCTGTGAAAGCATGTATTTGCTTTAAGAGCTGAAAATGCAAGCAAGGAGATAAAGGCTAATTATCCCACTATGAATGGGTACTGTATCATTGATAGACTAGGCAAATATGTGTAAGCACCACCAACCATGGTTGGCATGGAGCAGAGGGCCTTTGCATCTGTGACAGCATGATGCCCAGGAGACAAAAAAAAAGAGGAAGGGTAAGTCAAGGCATCTCAATAGAGCTCTAGGCTTACCACTGGCATATAGACCTCTGTCTTGCTCAGAGCAAAACCCTGAGCTTATCTGCTTCTTCAAAGAAGAGATCCCAAAACTATGGTATATTTGGGGAACTTGGACAAAGATTCTTGGTGCACTTGCAAAGCTACTTGGGTTATTATTTGTCGTAAATTTTGAAATTCTTTTCTCATCTTACCGCACTTGATCCTCTCAGGAAGGAGAGCAAGTTTCGACATACTGGCAGCAGAATCAGCATGCAGTTGAAATTCAGACATGCTGCAGGAGCTCTTGCCAGAGCCAAAGCACGCTGAAATTGGAGAGGTGCTATTATTAAATTAATTACCTAAGACACTATCCAGGAGACAGATAAGCACAGATTTTACATGTGATTATGACACAACTATTCATGAGCATGAGATTTAGAGTTAGTTAACAATGTTTGCACTTCAGAGCAGCCATGCCCTGGCCTAGTTAGGGGCACAAATGCAGAAAGAGAAGATTCTTCCAGATAAGCTACCTTCTATTTACAGTTTTGAAATAACACAGCAGTATGAAAAGCTCCCCGTCACATTTGGCAGTTGGTAGCCAAGTGCAGGTGCAAGTTTAAACTAGCAGCATTTTCCTTCCCAACATTTGAAGAAAATTTCCCCGCTGCTATTTCAGTTGGCTGAATTAGGGTAGACGGAAGGACAGCTTAAGAGGGAAGTGGTTTAGTGTTCAGAAAAGCAATGAGACTGGATCCAGAATTCTTCACAAATGTAGGTTAGTCTTTCTTGCAACTAGCACCAATATCAAAGAAGCTTTGTCATGCTCATAAAGCTCATCTCAGTTTCAAAAGGTCTCTTCAGAAGGCCTAGCACTCTAGCTCCAAACTGTCCCTTGTGTGTGCATCTCTGTAAAAAGAATCCAGGGAAATTCACTGCCTCATCTTTTAGGAATATGTTCCCTTTATAGCCATATAAACTGTTCGTGCTACAAAAAACAATTGGAAGGGGAAATAATTGCATCATAGTTCTAGAAGCAATACTTTATTCGTCTTCTCCTTAATAAAGTAGCCACCATGCATATTCACTTTAATTACCCTGAGCACAATTGTTACTTGGAAACATCTTTAGAATGAGATGTGTCCATTTTGCTATCAGCTTTCTATTCAGAAGCTCTGGACAACTATGTGCATTCAGTTATCCATTTACTTGACTTTTAATTCCTTCTTGAACCTGTTGCTCCAGCAAACTAATCCTGTTTCAATCAAATAAAACTAGGAAAAATTGTGTGTGTGCACTCTGTGCCAAGATAATGTATGCTTTGTACTTACGCCAAGGAGTACTCTGCTGTAGAAGAAATTTTGTGGGAGATCATATGCAAGATAGAACCACCAAAAGAGGAAGATGTTTAACCCCAACCACACAAGCTGAAAGAAAAATGAAGAGGAAACTTTAAACTTTATTGATCATTCACGAAAATTTACACAGCACAGAAAATGGCCAATGAGATCTTTGTGTTTCTATTTGTAGAGACAGCTGTGCTGAGTATGAGGGTTCAGCAGGGAGAATATATATATATGTATATATATATTTTTTTTTCTGGTAGAAATTAGCTTTGAGGTGTATGGAAATGGCAATAAACACAAATACAGATATGGGCAGCTGAAAATTTTGCATGGTTCTAAGAATTTAGACATGATTATATAAGAACTGTGATATTACATGTGTCTAATTAAGTCTGTGAGGTTAGTTAAATCTCCAAACATCATTAAAAGTTAGAACCTCTTCAAAATGGTGCTTCCTTAGATGTATTAACCTTTGTATGAGGAACACTTAATTGCTGTTCAACAGCAGTAAAAAGCTTGAGATCTAAATATAGATTGCCTTAATTACACCCGAGGCCTGACCATAACGTTTTCTATTGTGTAGGAGGCTCTAAATGTCTGAAATCAGTCAGCAAGAAATATTCAATGCAGGTATTTAGGTAGAGTTTAGACTATCCAAAATTGGGCTTTTTCATAGCTATACTGCAGTACTCTCACAGTGTGTATCCTACAGTGCAGATTTCTTCAGGAAAAGGGAAGTTATTAGCCCTCCTCAAAACTACAGAAGGTAGCCCATCTGGCTGCAGAAATTTGGCCATTTGCCCATCAAATCAGCTGTTGGCTGATTTCACATACTGTGTTATGTGGTACAATCTGTATCAATGCACCTCTATTCTAAACAGATTAACCAGGATGTACAAACAGACAAAAAAACCTCCAAGAACTGGGAGAAAACTCAGTCTATGGCTGTAAGTTAAGGATACCAGAAACTGACTTGACAGTAGCTCAGCCCTCTCAACGCATATTTTTGCTGGTCCTCTGGCCCAACCTGACACTGTAAAAACCTGGGATTGGTTTGGCATTTGAAGCCAACATCTTACCTGTATGGAATTAGTCTGGGAAAGTGAAGGGAGTTCCATCAGGTGGCATTAGGCGTCTGCTTTGTTGGGGCAAACCAATATAAATCCTGTCTGTTTCTATCAGGCATGGGACAGCCCTGTATAGTAATACTGTAGTGGGCAATGAAGAATGCTTTGCTAAGGATTTCGGTGAATAGTACTTACACATACTAACCCCACTTTGCAGAAATCCCTTCAATGGTGTTACTTTGTTATTACATGTATTATATATTATAATATAAACATACGTATATACTTATCTTGAGTATGACATTGCACTGATGTGAAAAAAAGAGAACTTTGAAATACTAGCTTCTGCCTGAATTTTCTCCCATAAGGACTGCCTTGTCTTACTGTTTATCTAGATGAAACAAGAGTGAGATTTTTAGTACTTTTAAATCTTGCTTGGAATAGTTTAATATACTTTCACAGCTACTCCATGTAACCTATTCAAAATGGATTCAAATGCTAGTTGCCCTAATGAAAAATTCATCACTTTCTGCTCTAAATTCTGGAATCTGACTCTAATGCTAATTTTCTATCCTCAAGACACATCCAACCTGCTCTCAGTTGCATCTACTTCTGCTTACAAAAATGCAAGAAAACCTTGTTGTTGTGATTGCTTTCTATTTTGAAGTTCAATAGTTAACAATGAGATGCAGTGTTATTTCTATTCCTTAATTCATCGTCGCATCTAAAAATAGCAGGCACTTAAATGTATTTCTATCCAAGAAAACAGCTAACATACAACCATTTCTCAGTTCACAATGAAACCTACAGCAACGCACGTACCAGGGAGAGCTCCTTCAAAATCAAGTTCTTGAAGTGCGTCACTGCACTTGCTGCCCTAGCTTCAGAATAATCAAACACATTATTCGCTGACACAAAGAGATCTGCTTATTAAAACACTCTGCAGAACTTTTTACTGGACACAAATCACAATAAAAAATGGTACTTACAACGACAAAGATGGACAGTCCTTCATTCTCCACCCAGTTACCCATGTTTGCCCGAGACAAGAGTGCACGACAGCCCCGTTCTTTCTGGGACAGTGTCTATGACTTCTCTCATAAGGAAGTGAGAGCAGAAGCTCACAGCAATCTGTTTCCTTTCTCATTCATTTAGGAAATAAATTAACCCATAGTTCAATTTCATATCATACCCATAGTTCAATTTCAAACATGTTTCTACCAACTTTTAATAACTCACACATCTACAAATGATTGACATAAACTACCTCTTCCTCAAGATACAGAGTTTGGATAAAATAAATACTGTAACTGGTGAGGCTTTCTGCTGAAAAATGTATTGTCACTTTGAATAATTTTCAATGCTGAACTGTAATACACAATTCACAGAAGAATTATCTCATCCCAGCCTTATCTTCTTTATCATCCCAGGTCAGAGATGCCATTCCTGCAGATCCCTCTTGACAAATAGTCACTAGAATGATTTCTCTTTTGATCACTCAAGGTTCACAGGAGCCTCCAAATATAATCAAAAGCTCTTCTTTTTTGGGACACACATGCAAACTGTAACATTTCCTCTCCACTTGGGTTAGCAGGGAGGACACGTGTCACTCGACTGTCTGGGTTTTTTTTTTCATTTTTTTGTACTCTCACACAGTTCCAGCTCTGGGAATTCTGACACTACAAAAAAAAAAAATAAAAAATAAAAAAGGTAATGACTTTGCTTCTGTGATTGTAGAGAAGAATATGGAAAATGGTCCGTGTATATTCTGTAGCTTACAAGCCCATCGGACATTTATTCCAAAAGTATTCTTTCTTTAAAAAGCAATACCTTTGAGGGAGTTTAATGATTTCTGAATGTTTTGCCTCTGTGGTATCACGATTCCCAAATCCACAATAAAGAGCATAAAATGAAAAGTGGTCAGGGAAGGCAAAGTATCTGTTCTGATTCGTGGATGTCCATTCTAGCTGTGAAGACTAGCCAGCTCCTTCCACCCAGGAATAGCAGTACTCTTCCTGCTTTTTCTTCCAAGCAAGTGTGCGAAGCCAGGATGCTCTGAGCTTCAACAGCCCTGGCTTGCCTGGCAGCTCCTCAGATACAAGAGCCACCAAAACATGGACTCTCTGCCTTAGGAGGCTTTTGGCAGGCCATAAACTCCAAAGGGGCAGGGTTTAGATCAGTCACAACTGTCAAAGTTTGACATTCTCTCAACTGTCTGACTAGCGGCCATGAAGCAGAATATAATTTAGTTGCTCTCAGCCAAGCAGTTATCAAATACCCATAGCTTATCTCACAACCTGAGCTCAAGGCTTAGAGGTTTTGAATAGTTCCAGAGCTGGTGGATGCTGTAGCTCCCTGGTATTTGGGAGGTCTGCTATTAATTGGAAAATGGACAGGACAACATATAGCATGGTTTCTGTATGTAACAAGTGTGGCTAGAGTTGGTATCAAAACCACCTACACATCACCCTCAATTTAATTCTGCTGTTTGAACCTTCTGAAAATGTGGAATATCACTGGTGTAATATCCCAGAGATGTATATGTTTCATGCTTTGGTCTAGTTGAAAAACAAACAAACAAACAGCATCATATACAAGAAAAGGGAATGTTGGCAGCTGTGTATTAACAATTATGTAGGAGTGTGTTAAACTGAAGTATGAAAAACTGAAACACTTTTTTCTTACTCTGTTTCTAAAATGTCTGTAGTGCTAGCTGATTACTGCACGCTGTTTTTCTTCTTTGTAGTGAATGGTTCAGTGAACCATTTTCTGTATGACAGCCCTGAAAAAGTACTCAGATCTCAGGACTCTTCACTTCCTCACAGTAATTTTATGCCAGTTATTCTAGTTCCTCTGTTAATCTGTGAAATAAAGCTCTGTATATTTCTGTACAAATTTAAATAACATAGGACTGAGTGTTTCACACCTGCCTACTAAAAGGACCATGTAAAATTCTGCATGCACAGATTCCAAAAGAGAGAGGTAAAGAAAAGAAAATGAAAGAGACCCAGTTCCTGCATTGCTGCCAATATGCTAAGACAAGGCTGCTGAGCTCTCTCCCATATAGCCAGTGAGAGACATTGACTAGCCTCTTTTATTTTGTTGGTCGAAATATTTATTTTGAATTCTTTGCATTGTGTGTCTCTTGACCTTCCCTCAATTTTACACAAAAGAGGAAAAAGCAGACTAGAATCTTCTAAGACTTCTTACATAGAGGGGAAAGCCTCATCCTTAACTTTATATCCGTTCTCAAAAAGCATCATCTATGGAGCTTTCTCTGCTACACTACACACCAGACCTGCTTTCACGTCCAGTCTCAGGCTGTCACTGCACTGACCCCTTCACTCATGGGAGTAAGATAGTATGAAACCCCTCCCTTCCCTGTTTTGTTTACAGGATAAATTGCTGAGGCCAGGGCTCAGGGCCCATTCAACCTGGCCTCAAGCACGTCCAGCAATGGGGCACCACAGCTTCTCTGAGCAGCCGTGCCAGTGCCTCACCTCCCACACAGTGAGGATTTTCTTCCTAATACCTAATCCAAATCTCCCTTACTTTAGTTTAAAACCATGATCACTTTAAGCTGGCAGCACTTTTCAAGTTAAGGCTGGCATAAGCAGAAAGTGAGGTTAGCATAACCCCCTATGCATAAAGCCTGGGGCCAAAATAACCCAGCTTTGCGCGGGTCTGCAAGAAATATAGCCCAGCCTAGCCACTGAACAGAAGCCCAGCTTTCACGACCCGCCAGGCGCTTTTTTCCAGCGCTCTTATCTTGCTTTCAGCCCAGCACCGGCGCACCAAGCACGTGGAGGCCCGTGGCAGCCTTCAGGCAGCGGGCAACGGCGGCGCGGCACCGCCACCCGGCGGCCAGCAGTGACGTCTCTGCTGGGGCAGGTTTTCACTCATTGAGCTGCCTGCACCATTCTTCAGGACAGCGGGGAGGCTGCTGCCGATTCCATTATATTATACATACATATATATATATTCTGTAAAAGCTGAGTAAGAAAATGAGCCCACTGTCAGCATTTTGTATTAAATGTTAATTTACCACTTGGAGATCTACGTTTTCAAGGGGAAATATTTTAGTAGATATCAGATCAGAAACAAGAACCAAAGTCAGTGGTGTGTAACAGGTAAAAATGTCAGTGCACCACAGCCTGCAAGCTCCAGGGGCAGATTCTTTTCTCACATGACTGAAAGTGCCACTTCCCTGCTGTCTCCCTACGGGTCTCAGCTCTGCTTTCCTTTGCTGCTGTGAGCTCCTTGATGGATCTGAACATCTGGCAGCCTTGTCTCATCACAGGTCTTCTGGTGTAAAGAAAGGGTGCCTTCTGACAGAATTTCCCTCTTGTAGACATCTGTCACACCTCTCTCATCTTTGACTTTGAAACCCAGTTTTTGAAAATGAGCCTGTCTGCTTAGCTTACTGTGTGGATAAACCATACTGAAAACATGGGGTGCTGGAGCTATGTTTGTATTTAAAGTCACTTCACCTGCCTCTGCTACAAAGCCTCTTTGTTGTAGACACTACCCCTTTTCGGAGGGGAAAAAGCAGGCAAAAAAGCTTCAGCTCTGGGGAGTTCAGTTATCTCCACTTCTGTGCTGAAGGAGAGAGATGGGCAGGGATGTGAAGCAGAGCTGAGACAAACAGCAGCGACTTGGGAGCTTCGTGGAAATGGTGCACACACAGTGTCCCCAGCTTAAAAGTGAGTTGTGACCAGAAGCTCTAGTACAGTGGTGGCCCGCTAGCCATGTGACAGCCAAATGCATTCCCTGAGCAGAAACAGCCTAGGAGCATGCACATGCACGTGAAAGACACTGCTTCACAGAAGGTTCTGTAACCCCAAGTCTAAGGTGTATCTGCACCATGTCCTGACACAGCTTTTTCCATTGGCTGGCTGGGTGCCCTAATGGCTGTGCTACAGGGGAGGAAGAAATAGCATCAGTATCATCACACAGTCGTAGAAGTACTCCAGTAACCCCTTGCCAACATCCTAATTGCACGGGTCTATCCTACTTTACACTGCTGCACTCATATTGTAAAATACAAATGAGTGCTGTAAAAGGTGGGGGTTTTTTTGCTGATTTTTCTCTCTTGTTTCTCAGCATGAGGGTGACAGGGCAACCCACATCAGTTTTAGATCCCTGCCTGCAGCATGACATCTGACTGACATGGCTCCTGGCTCAGCCTTGTTTGTACTGAGGACTTCGAGTTTTTGTTAACAGCAATAGGAGAAACACTGAGAAATGATTTCATGTTAAATGCACAAGTCTAAGAAGATAACAACACAATGAACAGTGGCACCAAGGAGCAAGCTTTTGCATAAAGCTTCACTTTAAAATAATCTATTAGCTAGAGTACTAAAATATGGCTCATCCCTGTGCTAAGGCTGAGCATGAAGCCTATAGGCTGCTAAGTCATATTTAAATTGCTTCTGAAAACAGAATAACACGGCTGTAGCCATACATCACTGTAACGGTGACGTTACAGAAATCATCCCCTCCTGACCAGACAGTACCGGAAGGAGTGGAAATTGCAGAGATACCATGGATCTGGGCAACAGGAACACGTGGATGGTCGAATCCAAACCCACAACCAGCTGAAGCCAGGAGCAAAACTGGATCATGAACTACCTGGTGGAGCAAGAGGATATGGAATTAAAAGTAACCAATATACTGAATCCAGCCCTGTTTTTAAACACAATAGAAGGAAGGGAAATCAAACACGACTGTCTTCACACTACTGAACAAGTATATTGTAGCAGAACTGATTTGAAAGACTGTCCCCTCGGAATCCAGATGTGGAAATGTTTGTGGATGGTAGGAGTTTCATGCAAGATAGCATTAAGAATGCCATAATTCTGGCACATACCAGCTAAGCACAGAAAGCAGAATTCATAACCTTGCTAGGAGCTTTGGATTTAGCAAAAAGGGAAAAAGAGACAGTATGTGGACAGACTCAAAATTTGCACTTGGGGTTGTGCTTGTACATGGTGCTATCTGGAAACAACAGGGCTACTAAACTCCCAAGGAACACCTGTAAAATATGGAGAAACAGTAATAGAATTGTTAGAAGAGGGGTAATTACCAAA